CAACCATTAGCTGAATGTACTATCAATAAAATCCTGGGTCGCAAGTACTCACCTTAATATTTAAAAAAAAATAAAATCAAAACCAATATACAATCAATAACCGAATTTATTACGATTGACAAACCCAAACATATTACAAGAACTGAATATACACAAGTATTAAACCCGAACCTTCTAATAGTTAGCAATAAACGTTTATGTAAATATAACATAATAAGAAAAAGACTTCCAGTTACCTGAGTCCAATAAACGATAGGCATATTTTGCCTCTTAAGTAAAGCTTTTTTAGTTTTGGATTATTTTGCACACTGTTATTAAAAAGTACTTTAAAACATATAAATAAGTTACCCAGACAATTGATTTACATCGACCAATCAAACGAACTTCTGTCTATGAATTGTTATTTAAATTTTCAAGATGCAAGTAAGTTCTGACTTTTAGCATCCCTAAGGTAGGGTTACCCAAGTAACCCGCCGTCTTAGGAAGACGTTTATCTGATTGGTTAATTTTTGTAGATCCACTCGTGATTACCCGTGAAAATCAACCAATCAAACTACATGATTTTTAAAGTCTTCATGCAATCGCATGTATTAATACTGATCTGGATGTAATTAACTGGGTGACCCATCACTACCTCAAACTTTTTACAATGTCTTTTGTCAAAAGAGAACCAATTATATTCCTTTCTGTGCATGGCACAGCAATGTTGCGCCAAACATATGTACCGTTACTTAGGCGGGACGCATTGGCCAACATAACAATTTGTATCTTCATCCAGATAAGGAAAAGTTCGTTTGACTTCCGATTGGAGGAAGAGAAACCCAAGACGTATTTTAAATTGTACCAATAACAATAGTTTCTTTGTAACTTAGATGGCTTCTCCAGAAATTCAAATTCCTGATTCTGTTTACCCACCTATTCCAGGGGAAAACCATCGGTATTATGGAAATATTCATAAGAAACAAGTAATGCTTCATTCCACTACCAATGTCCGAGATTTTTGTGATACGTCAAGTTTTCCTCGATATTTTGACAACGATGTAATGGATATACACGAAGCAGCTGCCTGTGGCAATATAGACAGGGTAAAAGAACTGTTAGATCCTCGTGGTGCCGGTGAAACTACTTCATCCTTTTTGCTTGCAAACGAAGTAAGCTCATCTGGTTTAACTCCTTTACACTATGCCGCTTCGCGCGGTCACACGGATATTGTCCAATGGTTGGTCACCGATGCTGGGGCCATTATAGATCTTGAGGACCAGACCGGTGAGGTATGTACAAAACTGTAGAAAATAGACATATTTACATATAAGTTGTTTACATTTTTTTAATTTTGATTATGATAGACTGCTCTTCTGAAAGCTTCTTATAATGGACATGTTTCTATTGTGGCCTGGCTTTTAAAGAGTTCGGCAAATGTTGAACAAAAAGATAATGATGGATGGACTGCTCTGCACAATGCTTCCTCCCAGGGTCATTTATTAATTGTCAAGTATTTGTTGGAAAACTCCAATGCTAATGTGGACGTTAAAAGCAACAAGGGGCATACACCATTGAGTAAATTTATTAAATCTTCATTTGTAATTTTCAAGTTGAAAACCTGAAGTATTTTATAACCAAATACCTTTATAACCTACTATAGTGAATGCTGCTTCAAAAGGACACATCATTGTCGTTAAATATCTTTTGAATACTGGTAACGCAAACCCTTTTATAAAGAATTGTCTTGGTGAATCCGCTTATGATATAGCCGCTACCTCTCAGAAAGTATATATCTGTGAAGTATTGGAGAAAGCTGAACGTGAATGGTTGAAAAATAAAAGATTATTGCAATCAAGTAAATTATACATTTTTAGAAAATACCAATGATGAGAAGTTATAATTTGGCTAGATTGTAGTCTTAGATACGATACAAATTGTAACTGCATGCATACAAATGGACACACTGTTACTTTAAATACAACTTTATTAACTAGTTTCTTTTCTACAGCAACTTCATTCAATGATCCTATGGATTTACCAGCCGCAAATCAGCCATATGATGTTTATGCTTTCCATAACACTGTACCTATTATTCTTCATGAGAATCAACGCTTGTCCTCCACTTTTAGCTTATCTATTCGTAATCCTCCAAGATACTCAGCAAGTAACCTTTTGAAGGCTGATTACAGCCCTTGGACCCTTCATCCTGAAGGGAAACCCTCTTCTAAGGATGATGTTCGCCTTCCATTGGGGCACTCATCGTCATCTATTTCATCAAAATCATCGCAAAGTGACTGGTTTTGGTTTTGTGACTGGATCGTTGATTTTAGTTATCCACGTGTTGACTCACAAGGATGGCAGTATTCTAGAAAGTTTGAAGATCCAGATACGTTATGGTCAGAGGCATTACCATCAAATAGTAACACTGGAGTTCGAAGAAGAAGATGGGTACGGATCATGAAACGTATTGTGAAAATTGATAACGTTGACGCTTTACAGCTTGCTGAATCTCTTGTTCAAAAACACCAAGGCAACGGTAAAGGTAAGTCTGTGACCTTTCGTTTACTGATAAATTGACAATGTATAAAAAAGCAATTGAAAATTATCTTCTGGCATTAAAAGTATGTATCGTTTTATAATTATTTTTTTTATTGGCACCTATCTATATCTATAGATAATAAATTAATCATAAATTATATCTTATTAAATGTAGCTGATTTCAATGCACAACGGAGATAAAAAGCAATGCGCCTAATTAACAATTATACACAATTAACGGAATCACAAGGCACAAATTCCCATGATAATCCAACGGCTCCAAGTATGTTAAAGCCACTGTCTCCTACTAGTTCAGATGCGACAATTACCAATCATGGAACACCATCAACTGCAAGTTTTGAAACAATTGAGCATCCATGGAATGGTGAAGATGTTTCCAATCTTCAAGAGCCGATTCTTGACCTTACAGCGCCTTCCACATCGGTATCTATGTCTAGAACACAAACAGGTATCGATATGACAAATTCTCAAAACAAATACAAATGGGAAAATGACGAGGATGTAAGTGAATGTCGTCTTTGTAATAAGAAGTTTAGATTATGGACTAGAAGGCATCATTGCAGGTCTGTACCGAACATTTTATTTTTATAAAAATACTTGTAAATATTTAAACTTATTTAATAAATTTACACGAAAAAAAGACGGTGTGGCCAAGTAGTATGCGATCAATGTTCTACTGGACGAGTTGTTATGTCACCTACACAAGTTGTTTCCGGTCCTTCATTAAATGAAAATATTGGTCAACATTCTCAACCTCACCGTGTGTGTGACGCATGCTTTTCAACAATGTGACATTACTAAGTTATCTGGACCGGATCAAGCCAGTTTCCGCTAAGTAAAAAAAAATCATGTAGCTAGTTAACCCTATGTAAATCCTCCAGTTAGCGTTTGTTTTACAAGGCTTAATTTACATTTTAAACATATATTTAATCTATAGTGGTCGGAGTCGTGTGATTTTAATTTAAGTCCAATAAACTAAACTATTGTTATTAATATGGAATTAACTATAATGATAGCTACATAATTAATATTAATATATGTTGAGATTATGTTGCAAAATTTGGGGTCTCTTTAAATCTATAATACCTAATAAATTCACATTGAGTTTTTTCTTGTCCCGTGGGGTCGTTTTCAAGGCAAAGACCCCATATGCTCTTTTATTAATACTACCCTAACCCTAACCAAAAATTTTTATTATGTTATAATAAAATATGACAAATTTTTAGCATAATTCAATTTCAGCTTTAGCTACATAGGCAGAAGTTCGTCTGATTGGCTAATAAATTCAATTTAATTTTACATTATTTATACAGTTTAGAGTACTTT